TCTGTGAGAAGCTACACTATATCTATTGCAAAATGTCACAAAATATAGAAATGCTTTTTTTTGCTGTGCAGTTCTAGAAAATGCCAGAGGCTTTAAGTTGACTTGGGCTGGCTACTTCTATCACTCGAATGAAATATGTAGGCTAGCTGTTTAAATGAGATTCTCGGAGAAGTCAACATGAGTTTTGCTTGCATAAAGACTCAGGCATTAAGACAATACTGGGCAAAATGTACTTACCTTTTCTAGCTGAAATTTTTTCCTACATCTTTTTTTTTCAGTATTCCCAATGAAACCTCACAGTTTTCAGCAGAGCTCTCTTCCAGTGGGACAAATTCTAGACTAGAATAACATGATCACAGTATGAAGCCACTGTAAGGTCACTTCTGATAATTTTTTACTTCTTTCCAAATGGCCTATCACATTGAAATATCTGAGATACTGCTAGTATAGCCTTCAGTGGTTTAGCACTGATAATGTGCAAAGCCTTCATGGTTTTCATTGGGCTGTGTGGTCCATTAGTCGCCCCTGATTGACTGACTTATCTGCCCCCCCAGTGGGATGTCAGGAAGCACTCTACTACATACAGTAATTATCAGGGGAAATACAGAAGCTTGGACAGTTCCTGAAGTGAGGTAGAGCTTTGCAGCTGTGTTGCCTTGGCTCTGCCATCATGAGTCTGCATTTGATCCTGCAGCTATGAAACCAAGTAAACTTTTAAGATCTGGAGTACTTTGTGGAAATCATCAAATACTGAATGTAGCCCACAAGACTTGTAGCATTTACAAAGCAATCTGTTCCTTGGGGGCAGTAGTGCTTACCCTTTTGGCCCCATGGTCTGGATCAGTGGTGCAGGGTCAGTCTAGTTGCCTGCCTACCAGATCTGGTCTGTTGGATAGATCCTGCATGGGGTCAGTGTGGCCCTGCACTACTTGCTGCTCTGATTCAGCCCCGCACTGGTACGTGGTCATGTTATCTGGCTCGCAGAAATCCCCCAGTTCTGGAAATTTGGGAGCAGGGGAGTGGCAATTAATGCTGCTACCACTCTTCCACCACCAGATTTCTGGACTGTTGAGCCCTCCGAGTCATTTTGGGGAATGAGGAAATGAGCTGATGGTCTGATTCTTCTTCCCATTCGCAAATGGCTGTCCTTGTGCAGCAGTCTTGCCTGTCAGATAGGGCTAGCAGAGAAGTTTATAGCAGCAAACACAGACTTTTGTGGGGAGCTAGATGCTAAAAGCTTTCTAACCTACATTCAGTCTAATTATTAATAATGTTTACCAGATGTAAGTTAAAATGTTTCTTTCACAAAAAGCCATTTACAATGTTATGTAAACAGTGGATGTCAGCTGTATGGTGCTGCTAATTATTTGCATTAGATCAGAAGAATGTACATTTTATATATCTTGCTAGCCAAATAAAATTTCCTACTGAAAATAAATAGATTCCTGATTTATTTAAGCAAAAAATGTCATCAAAAAAGCATGGTTGAATGGAGCTCCTTTTTTTCTTACAGTCCAGGCATGCCCCAGGTCATCAGGGAACTAACACTGCATCTTTTAGGTGGTTTGCCTGTTTCTATATGGGATCAAATGCTTTCCAGTGCCTCTCTTCATCATCATTTTTTAAATAAGGTTTCCTTACCTAGTTGTAATTCATAGTGGGTATGTGTGTGCTACAAGAACATATTACCCTTCTCAAGTTTCACTAGGGAACACAAAGTTATTACCTGGTAATGCCACAGGAAGTAAAGATAAACCTGCCTAATATTTAAAAAAATTAACAGTTTTTCTTAACAGTTCTAGATATACATACTTTTATATAAAAATGCTGACTGACGGTGTAGTCTGTTTTGGCCTAGTAATAAAGACAAGGCCTTCTCAGAAACTGCTCAGTGATGTATTCAGCATTACTCAGGGCATCTTCTGTCACACATATGCTTTGTGTTCTTATTGCCAAAATGTTTTCCTTTAAAAAGTTAATAAAAACCCAAAGAGATTCTAGCGATATTTATATTCACTGATGGCACAGTGAATGGCAACTCTTCCCGAATGGCACACACCAACTGCAGAGGCTTCCTCAGCCTGATGAAGGGTTTTTAAAACCTGAAAGCTTGCTAAGAAATTTTTTTTCCAACTATTTAAGTTGGTCTAATAAAAGATATTAGATTCACCCAAGCCCTTGTTTGCCTTATTCCTGTGATGCAATTAACAGGCTGAATCATCTTTTTCAGGAAATTTGACTGGCAAGGCAGACAATACTGGGAGCAGAGTTTTCTGAAAGACGGATCATAAGAAACGAAAATGGCTTTATCAGCTGCTTGGAAAAATGCCAGAGTGATTGATACCAAGGCAGGAGGGGAAATTAAAGAACAATTGGGTTAGGGAAATAGCCGGCTTCAAACACTGCAGGAGATTTGTGAGAGACTTGATCTGGTTTGATACTTTTGATTTAATGAACAGTTCCCCAGCTGCCAAAGCTAGGAAGATGGCATCTATGGTCAAAACAAATACTAAATGAGAGAGTGGGTTGGAAGGGGAAAGTAGAAGTGGGGTGGAGGGTAAGAGTGAGACCAGTGTGCATGTTAAGGGGAATATAGAGAGCTGGAAGATTCCTGGGGATGGTTGGCAGAAGGGAGGGCTGTCTCTGTCTGTCTGTTGAAACTATTGAGACAGAAACAATCTGGGCTTAGGGCTAGAAGTTTTGTAGAGAATATGAAGACAAAGTTATGCATTCAATGTGGAACTGTCCAGTTTAACTCCCCACCCTCTGATCTTCCTAATGCATGGGACTGTTCTCTTCCCCCTGCACTGTCAGTGTACACTGAGCTGCATAGAAATGCAAATGCCAAGTGTTCTGTCCAGTCCCAGGCAAAACTGAACCAGGTTTTTGCCACCCCATTTTAGCTCTTGTTCCCCTGGTCCTCATTAAATCGAACTGTCAAACTCTTGGTGTATTCCTGCTATTGCCAAGTCAGGGGAGCATCCTGCTTGGCAACATACTTAGACATTTTTCACGGACCAGAGAATTCTGAATCGGCTACAGCTAGATTGTTCTTTGCCGCCCAGATGGTGAACAGTTGCAGCACTCTTGCCAGCTTATACCCTGCTCATTGGAAAGCTTCCTTTGACGTTGCTTACTGTGAAAAGAGTTCATATGGAAAAGTTTGCAGGAAAAAAGCAGCACGCAAATAAGCTCTGTGGAGGGTTTAACGTTGTCTAGGTAAGTGGTTTCCAGCATGTTAAATTGCTTTGGAGACCATAGGAAGCAGACCAGATGCCCTGCCATACAAATGCCTACTGCTTTGTGGAAATATGGTTTGCACCTTGGAGGTTAATTATTTACGTAATAAGTGCTAAAGAGTTTACTAAGCCTTTGAATTAAGGCCAAGCAAATTGAGAATCCAAACTTGATAGAAGCTCTTGGACACCACTCAATATGAACACTATCACTAGTGTTTTCCATTAATACTGTGACTTGGCAGAGACTGCTCTAGTAGAAAAAACACAGGCAGTCCTCGGATTTATGACACAACTGGTTCCTGAAAACTCCGTCTTTTGAGTCGAAATGTTGTAACTCATAACCAATTTTCTCATAAGAAACAATGTTATAAATGGGGGATTGGTTCCTGAACCACAGCCCGATACCCTATTTTCACCAAAAATATCCCAGAATTTTGTATTTGATCAATTATAGATGAGTAGTATAGCTACATAAATGTATTTATATTGTAAATAGCAATCATATTGATTTGGAAGGACTTCTTTGAGGTGACTTTGCTGGACTTTTTGAAGGGTTCTTGGCTGGAGTCTTCTCAGGAGTCTTGACTGCAGGTTTTCCTGGAGTTTTGTCTTCTTTCTTAAAGTGTCCAAGGAAGTTCGCACAGATGTGCTCCAGGTAGATGAGCATGCAGAGAACTTGTTAGCTGGCATAGCGTCGCATCGGATCAAGCATTGTAAGTCGAAACTGATGTCATAAAGTTGAAACGGTGTCAATTTATAAACGTAAGTGTGAAACGTAGTAACTCAAAACGTTGTAAGTTGAGGACTGCCTGTACAGCAGTAATCCTTCCAAGGAGAGAGTCAGGTCTGCAGACTATTAGGCAGAATCTAACTCTAGGAAGTGTTGGTCTCTAAAGCTGTGTGTGTGTTTGTGCGTGCGTGTGCATATACCTACATGCAGGCATATACCTACTCTTGTCCTGTGATACATGAAATTAGATATACTCTTTCTGAATATTCAACACCTGAATATGTGTAAATAACACACCGTGTGCACATAAAACCTCAAATATACAAAATCCAGTTTTTATTCTTTTGACCACGAGGAAAAAGAGTTTCCAATAGGAAGCCTGGCTTCCATGTATGTGAGAGAAAGCTTTGGAAGCGATAATAAAAAATGACCTTTTAATGTGTAGGCTTGAGCAGTTTTATAAAAGCCCCATAACATTTTGGTTCACAAAGATAAAAACCTATGAATTGAGTAAATTGACTTAATGTTGTTATTCTCTCTGTTTTATCAGTCTCTAGACCCTGTTACTATTGGATACAGTATATGTTGCAATGCTGTAAACTAGCTGAATCTAGTCTATAACACATTTTAAAATTATATCTCTGAATTGTAATCTCTCCTGGAATATGGCAGGCACAGTGTACATTTTTGAACTGCACAGAATTTGCATAAAAGCAGCAGCTACTTATGCAAGTCAGACTGGAGGTCAGGTGCTTATGACTCAGTGGATAGATAGATGTGTCTGTCTCTCTGAACACAGATGGAGTTATCTTACAAATGTAGGAGCATGGAGCAAAGCCCAGGGGGAGTGTGTTCCTGCACAAAGCAACCACGTCAGAGTAGAACTAATATGCAATCCAATGGGCAGAGATTCTGGTAGCAGCTTTCATGTGATGGGAGCTTGCCTAAGATATAAAAGTACTGACAAGCAGAGAGAGAACAGTATATCCCAAGTGAAGGGCAGCAGTGTGCTGGGGCTGTGTGTGCTTGCTTCATCTACAATAATTACCACGTTCTATTTTGAGACCTGAAGATTGCTTGCGCTAAAGAAAGCAAACTATTGATCTTCAAATCTCCCATCGATGGGCTCGCAGTGCAGTACTGTAGATGAGTTATTTCTAAACCTGAACAACGCTGCAGCTTATCAGACATGGTTTCTCATTACATCTGGCTCTCTCTCCCATCTTTAGTTAATGCCTTTGAAAAACCAGGTACATCACCCATCAATGGAAGTTTTGAAGGAACTCTTGGAATCCCCAACATCTCGAGTTTCTTTTCCTGGGATAACTACACCCTTGCTGAGTGGCAGCACTTTGTGGGCAGGAGCAGATATGGAGCAGAGTCCCAGAATCTGACAGTGAAAGCCCTGCTGGTTGCGGCATACTCCTTCATCATTGTGTTCTCGCTCTTTGGGAACCTCCTGGTGTGTCACGTCGTGGTCAAGAACAAGAGGATGCAATCTGCCACCAGCCTGTTCATTGTAAATCTGGCCATGGCAGACATAATGATCACGCTTCTTAATACTCCCTTTACTTTGGTAAGACAAAGCAGCAAAGGTCTCTTCCCTCTACCTTTCCTTTAAAATGTGAACTTTGGTAAGAGAATTACAGAAATGGCTTAGTATGTGAATCTGCTTTCTAGGTGATGACAAAAGGTACCATTATTAAAGATGCAATATGAGCTTTCAGTGATGCTCAAAGAATTCTTGTCCATTAAACAACCTTTTTTACTCATCCTATTGTTGGCAGTTAAGTTTTTCCTAGTCTGTCTGTCCACTTCCAGTGCATGCATGAATGTTCTGTAGAAATGCTTGTTAGTGATCTTTGCAGTCAATTTAATTAGTCTTTGGTAAATTTAATGTTTTCTCTGATTTTATATGATTGATTTGAAAATCTGATGTTAATAATAAAAAGATGCATGGGCTTAAGGCAAAAGACATTGTCAGCACAATATAAGCAACAATAACAGTGCTGTTTAACAGCATCTAGTTACTGTTTCTTCCTTGAAGAGTCTGCAGTACAATAATCCATTGCAGTCTAATACATAAATAAATATACAACACAGTATAATTCTCCCTTTTAACAATGGTCAATGATCATATCCTTCTACATGATTTGGTGAAAAGATATACTAGCTTTGTACCAGCTAAGGGATGCTTGGTGATCTTTGTACCCAGCACAAACAGCTGCAAAGGAGGAAATGACTTACTGACAGTTCTTTAGGTACAAGGGAAATATTCTGAAGGAAGCAAAATAAAAACACCAGAAGTCACTTCACCATACTGATCTGATGCAGTTGCTGGATCAGTAAGTAGCATCAGAACAGTTGGACTGCCAGATCAGCTCCTGATAGCTCCAATCTGTTTAATGCCCTGTTGCAGGTTTCAGTAATCAGCAAATCATTTAAAGAAGAAAGAGTAGATAAAACAAATAGGATTGTGTTAAACTAGTGATTTTTCAACCAGGGTGCCATAAGATCCTTTTAAAAGTACCAGTGGGTACAAATGCCCACATGTGATTCACAACATAAACCCAGAGATTTCAAATAGGAATCCATAGTGTCAAAAATATTCTGAGCTACTGTGTTCTGAGTTTTCTGTGACCAAAGAATTGCTTTAATATTGTTCCATAATCAAAAAATGCCCCAAAACAAAGAACTGACACTTTCTGAAGGGGTGGCTTGAGTCTGAAAAGGTTAAGAATCGCTGTGTTAAACAATTTGTAGCCTGCAAATTCCATCCTTTGGGGAAGGAGGTAGCAATAATGCATGTGACAGGTGCCTCAAAAGCTGACTGTGTTCCATCGTGGGATTATTCCTAGGCTCGTTTTGTGAACAGTACCTGGATCTTCGGGAAACAAATGTGTCACGTCAGTAGGTTTGCACAGTACTGCTCTCTGCACGTCTCTGCCCTAACCCTCACAGCAATTGCAGTGGACAGGCACCAGGTGAGACTGCTCTTAAGTCTTGATGAACTGGAAATGCTTGCTTTAAAGCAATGGCTAAATTGCATCCTCTTTATACCTCAGATCTCAATGAACATAGTGCCAGGTATGTAATGAAATGCCAGTGTGATGATGTGTTTTTTTTTCTTAACTAGCTCTCAGATATAGCAAAAGGGGTAGTAAATACAATATAGTGGAAGTTAGATGGGACAGTAGAGATGGTCAGAAGCCCAGGGACCTGCCAGATGAAGGAGGGATTTTCTTAAAGGCTTTCCCAATGGAAAATTGAAATTTGCAGCAAAAATAGTGAAACTTTGTCAAAAATGTAATTTTGTAAAAAATGCATTTTCTGTTGGAAAATTTTTGAACCAACTCCAAATGTATTGTCCCCCACAATTCTCTGTCTTGCTTATACAGGAAGAATGAATGTGAAAGTTTTGTGCATCTCCCCATTATTTATCCTGTTTAATTAGATCCAACCTGCAAACGGATGCACAGCTGCGGAGATTATGCCTGCATAGAGCACCTCTGAAGTCGGTGCATTGCCCTAAAGTTGCAAACCCCTGGAAGCACCCTTGCTTACTTTACTCATTTTCCTCAGTGAAAATAGTTCAGCTTATATCATTAATTTCAGCTTCTGTCACTTGAAGTCAGTTGGAGCTGTGTATAGTCACTGGCCACGCAGCACCTGGCCAGTCAATGTGCATGTTTACTGCAGTAATTAAAGCCGGGAGAGAAGGTGCAATTTTCAGAAGTTACTGTATATTTCCCACAGGTTATCATGTACCCATTGAAACCTCGCATTTCCACTGCAAAAGGCGTTGTCTACATCTCAGTTATCTGGATCATGGCCACCTGTTTCTCCCTCCCGCATGCTATCTACCAAAAATTATTCACTTTTGAATACAGGTAAGGATGATCCCTACTTGCAGTCTGCAAAACCAGATGCATAGAAATGATAAGTTGGTAGATCATTGAAGGGCAGAGGCTACACTGATCTGTAATTGACCTAGAGACTTGACCTATAATTTGCAGTTTACACTATGGTTGCCTTCCAGTTCTTATTGTATTTGTATTCTATTACTTAGTTTTATTCTTCTTATGATTAGCAAGACAGAGGCACAGCTCCTCATTTGGTAAAAATTGGCCTTGACACCAGCCAGAGTCTCCATTGATTCAAACTACCGCTGGGAACCAGAAACTCATGGGTACCGATTTAACTCCTGCTCTGCTTTGTATCTCTCTCTCTGTCTTTGGACAAGTGATTCAGTCTCTCTGTCTCCATTTCCTCTTCTGTAAAATAAGGATGTTAATACCTACCATATATATGCTCAGAGATTTGTGCTGAGGATTATGCTTGTGAAGTGTTTTAACAGTAACATTTTTATAAGAGGTACATTTTTATTACAGATGAATTGATGGAAGGCAGAGAGATGTTTATAAGGGCTTTGCACAACTACCAGCTGCATAAAAAAAGCATTTTATAAGTGCACCATAATATCATAAATGACTATGAGAAATTATTCTTTCTTCACTTCTAGGCTACTCCATGGGCCACATCCTCAACTGGTGCAAACTGGCATAATGCTGTTGGACCACATCAATATGCACCACTTGAGGATCTGCCCAACAGTGTTCTGTCACATGTCCTCTCCCTTTCTAATTTCTCTCTTATCTGATACCAGGCTAGTTAATTCATTGTCATTGATCCTCTTATTTACAGTGAAGAAGTTATCCGCTGCCTGTGTCTCCCAGATTTCCCTGAACCAGCTGATCTCTTCTGGAAGTATCTGGACCTAACAACCTTCATCTTGCTCTATGTTCTGCCCCTTTTGATCATCTCTGCTGCCTACCTAACAGTGGCCAAGAAGCTTTGGCTGCGCAATGCTATAGGGGATGTGACTACAGAACAGTATTTTGCCCTTCGTAGAAAGAATAAAAAGACCATTAAGATGTTGATGTTGGTAGTTGTCCTCTTCGCTGTTTGCTGGTTCCCATTAAATTGCTATGTCGTCCTCCTTTCCAGCCAGACTATTCGCACCAACAATGCCTTATACTTTGCTTTTCACTGGTTTGCAATGAGCAGCACCTGTTACAACCCCTTCATTTACTGCTGGCTCAATGACAATTTCAGGTTGGAACTGAAGTCTTTGCTCAACATGTGTCAAAAACCCCCTGGGCCAAAAGAGCACAAGCATCCATCCATGGTTCCCTCCTATAAAGTAGCCTGGCCAGAAAACAGCAACTGCAAGAAGTTTCAGGTCTCCCACGGGCTTCCCTCAATCTCTAATAGCCAACTGGGGAAGACAGACATCTCTTCAGTTGAACCTATTGTTGCTGTGAGTTAAATGAGGTAACAATATGAGTGGTTGTGGGGGAAGTATCAGGATTCACCAAAAACTGAAGATTTACTACAGGGCACAGAAAAAAGTACATTGTAAAAGGCCCCTTTGAGCAGGTAACTCTGACTCACAGGAGGCAATGCACTTCCACCAGAAAGAGTATGCACAACCACATCCAGCCAGAATGAACTCTTACAGAAGAAGTATAAAGGACAGAAATACAAATATCAGTAGGAGTACAATTCTCACAGACGAACTGCTCCCTTTCTGACCTCGAGCTCAAGGGAAATCTACCTAATAAAAGATGAGTTTGGGACAAAATTTCATAAGCTGGCTGAACACTAAGCAGCAAGGACTGAACACTGGTATGAACTTTATGGTACTCTACAGTCTACCTGATTCCTGAAATTCTTCCTTCACATTACAGGTGATAATGACCCATCTCCCTTCTGATAGGTTTTGATGTCCCAGTTAATTGTGTGTTTGCTACCCTATAGGAATTTCTCTCCCCATCCAATTTCACAGCTCCCCCAGTTTGTCATCATTGCTGTGCATGCTTCCCTCCCCTGACCTGAATTCATAGACATTAAGGGTTGGAAGGGACCTTGGAGGCTCATTGAGTCCAGCCCCCTGCCCCAGGGGCAGGAAGTCAGCAGGGATCATAGGATCCCAGCAAGATAAACATCTAAATGTGTCTTGAAGGCGTTCAAAGTGGGTGCTTGAACCGCCTCCGGCGGCAGTCTATTCCAAACCTTGGGGGCTCAGACAGTGAAGAAATTCTTTCTTATGTCCAGCCTGAACTGGTCACAGTGGAGTTTGTGACCGTTCGATCTTGTCATCCCTTGGGGTGCTCTGGTGAACAGACGTTCCCCCAGATCCTGATGAGCACCCCTAATAAACTTATAGATGGCCACCAGATCACCCCTGAACCTGCACATTTCCAGGCTGAATAGCCCAGGCTGATGCAGAATGCTTTCCATTCGAAAGCTTGTCTAACTTTATCCCAGCCATGCAGTTGGTCCAATACAAATTATCACCTGCAAAATTCCTTACCTCTGACATCTTTAAAGCAGACTGGCAGAAAATATACATGCAGCTTCCAAATGAAATAAAGACAGTAACCCCCCTCAGGGGGTAGACAACTTTTGTCCAATTGTCTTTCAACTGGTTGGCAACACAGTACCCTCTGGGCTGGATTCTGTTCCATAGAATAGTGCCTAAGCATGATCCTATTCCACCCTGAAAAACCATCAATGCAAAAGGTGATTTGGGTCCATCTCCTCAGTGGCAATGCATAGGGGGTGCACAGGAGTGCACGTGCACTCCCTGAGAGCACTGGTGTGCCCCTGACACCCAGTGTTCCCTGCTTAGGCAACAGGTGGGGGGTGCAGGTGGGAGCGCTGGTGCCCCCCTGAGAGTGCCAGCCAGGGAGTGGGAGCACCAGAAGAAGTTTCCTGGCCATTCCAGGTTGGCACGATCAGCTGTGGGGGGAACTCTCCCCAGGTTGCTGAATGGCTGCTGGGCGGGGGGGGGAAGTGCTCCTCCTGACTCAGGAGATACCAGTTGCCCATGCATCTCTTTTCACTTTTCTGTGACTCTGTCTTAAGGAAGGTGTGTTACAAAGACAGATGTACTTAATTTTTTTCCCCAGAGATTTAATTAGGGCGAAATAGAATCTGGCCCTCACTGCATGTGTAATGTGTTATCCATGGATAATGTACTCTGTTAGCCTTAGTTGTAGCCTTTTACCTGTGAGACTTTGTAAGTGTGTGATGCCTACTGTTGAGCCAGGACCATAGCATTGCAACCACGGTCTATATACATCAAAACTTATTCTTAAAAATATTTTGGGGTGAACATACAATTGCTACTGAGACCATTCATCTTTGGTTGCTGGCTTGAATCCAGTCCAGTATAACAGTGATAGAATGATGATACCCTAAAATGGTGGATTGCCTTATTGACCTCTGCAGTGTATTCAGTAATAGTTCATTTCCAAGTCAATGGGTGCATCTAGCAATGTGCTTTAATGTATTTACTGCACCTTAAAGCATCATGGCAAACAAATGCTAATATGTTAATGCACAGTAAAAATAGGCTACTGTGCTTTAAGAGTTACTAAAAAGCATGCACTTTTGGTACTGTGCAGTAGGGCAGCCTAATGCACATTTATTTAGTGCCTTACATTAGAGGTACTAAATTTAATGCACATTAGGAAAAGCACATTAATGAATGTGTAGCTGCACCCAGTGAGTATCTGTATCACAAATCTGTCACCCAAGTTAGCATCCCTCTTGGGAATCATCAGAGAGGTCATAGGTTGGATAGACCCCCAGGGTAGGAGTGAGCATCAGTTCCCTTGGAAGTTGGTTCCAGATCCTAGCTGCCCTGACTGTGAAGTAGTGCCTCCTGATGTCTAGTCTGAATCTACTCTCCGTCAACTTATGGCCGTTATTCCTTGTTACCCCCGGTAGTGCTTAGGGGAACAGGGACTCTCCCATTGCCTGCTGGTCCCCCTTAGCCAGTTTATAGATGGCCACCAGATCCCCTCTCAGCCTTCTCTTGTGGAGGCTGAACAGGTTCAGGTCTTGTAGCCTCTCCTCGTAGGGCCTGCCCTGCTGACCCCTGATCATGTGAGTGGCCCTCCTCTGGACCCTCTTGATGCTGGCCACATCCTTCCTGAAGTGCGGCGCCCAGAACTGGACGCAGTACTCCAACTGTGGCCTGACCAGTGTCGCATAGAGGGGAAGGATCACCTCCTTGGACCTGCTCGTGATGCATCTGTGGATGCACAACAAGGTGCGGTTAGCTTTCCTGACTGCATCCCCACACCGTCAGCCCATGTTCATTTTGGAGTCTATAATGACTCCAAGATCCTTTTCTGCCTCTGTTCTGACAAGAAGGGAGTTCCCCAGCCTGTAGGTGTGCTGCTGGTTCTTCCTCCCTAGGTGCAGTACCTTGTACTCATCAGTATTGAATCCCATCTTATTCTCATCCGCCCACCCCTGTAACCTGTCCAGATCCAATTGCAGCCTGTCCCTCCCTTCTAGCATGCCCACTTCTCCCCACATCTTAGTGTCATCTGCAAATTTGAACAGGGTGCTTTTCAACCCCTCATCCAAGTCGCTGATGAAGATGTTGAACAGTGAGGGCCCGAAGACCAAGCCCTGGGGGACCCCACAGCCCTCCAGGTTGAAAATGACCCATCCACCACCACTCTCTGGATATGGCCCTCCAGCCAATTGGCGACCCATCTGACTGTGTAGGCATCGACACCACAATCTCCTAATTTTTTAACGAGAATGGGGTGAGAGACAGTGTGGAAGGCCTTCCTAAAGTCCAGAAAGACTATGTCCACTGCGACACCTGCATCCAAGGATTTTGTGACCTGGTCATAGAAGGCCACCAGGTTGGTCTGACAGGACCTGTCTCTAATGAACCCATGTTGGTTGCCCCTGAGCATACACTCCCCTGAAGCTTATACATCATTGTGGTCATGTGGTATCTAATAAATTATGCAACTTAGCTTTTGAATTTACCTTTGAGTTTTCTTCCCTTGGTACATTTGATCTCAGATAAGAGGCTGGTGGGCTGTCTGTCTTCTTTCTACTTAGATGCCTTAGATGGTGCTTCTTGGGAACTGCACACACAGATGTATAGCTTTAAAATTGCAGGACAAATAGTGTTAATAACACCAAGAACAGAAGAGGAACTTTTTCAGCAAGGTGGCCCATGATGACTGAACATTTTTGTTGCACAGTGATGAATGCGAGAAAAACGCACACTATATCCTTGCTGGTGTTTTGTTTAGAATCAGGTCTGATTGTGACAGCCAGGATTTTAGCACCTCAAGGTCTAAACCACAGGGAGTATGTTTCTGAGCAGGACAACACAGAAGCCTCCAGAAACTACTTTGCTATTGCATGCAAATTGTTTCCCAAGTGCTCATGCTGGGGTAATCAGCTAGTTATCATTGCTGCATTGCTACTCAAAGATGCCTCATTCTGCATTAAACTCCCAGCAGTTGACAGTAAGGAGAGAGAGAGAAATGTACTGTTGTTTTTAAATAAGCATAAGAAAGTTTCACTCATGTCCTGTAATTTATATTGTGAAACCATTTCCAGATGCTTTTAACTTGTACAAGTTTTTCATTGCTATGTATTTACAAAGAATAAAGTATAGCTAGCAAATCTGTATACACCACCTTGTGCAGTGCTCTTGCTGTCTAATGCGCCATTCAGATTTACCCAAAGAACCTTGTCTGCCTATGTCCTTAGACCAACATGGCTACAACCAATACCCCATTCTCCTTTGCTCACTCATTTTGAGGTGTTACTCCTCCCTCCCGTGGGATCAAGCATGTTTCCTATTACTCTCAGAACTGAGTGAAAGTCAGGTAATGGTTCGTGTCACTGATCTCCAGAAGGATCTTCTTTTTTCCCCTGACCCTGACATCTGCCAACCCTTTCTCCTCCCCTTGACCTGCTATACACCAGTGGCAGGGATCTAGTTTTCCTATGCCATTGTCACATTTAACATTTAACAAAATGTGATGCCAAAATAAAAAATTGGGTTTGTGTGGTTATTTTTGAAGGATGTAGCTCATGGGTCAAATCCTTACCAGGTATAAATAGGTTGGTGCCATTTGATTAAGTTCAACAGCGTGCATGGCTCATAGTCATTAAAACATGTAGTTTGGAGGCTGGGAGAAGAAGGAAACTTCCTGCCCAAGCACATCTCTGTTGCATTGGCAGATAAATTACTGTAAAGACTTTTCCCAGCCCCTGCAAGATCTGTGGTTTATTCTTTTACTGTACTGGAAGTCTAATGAATCAATAAAAGATGAACTCCTCATGGAAAGTGTCTGCCTGTGAGGCACTTTCTCCCCTGTCTTCCCCTGTGAGTGTTACTGTGAGGGACAATGATCCAGGTTGTGGTTCAGGTTTCTTATGCAATCTAGTGGTATTTGGGGAACTGAAAAAAATTATGCCTTGGCTTTGTTAAAGATGTTGCAGTGGTGAGTAGGAAAATGCAAATATCCAAGTGTTTTGGGAGAATCAGCCCTATTC